AGGATGGTCTTAAACTTGTGATCCTCCTGCCTCAGCTTCCCAAACTGCTGGGATTATAGGCGTGTGCCATTGCACCCAGCTAGATTCTAAGTCTTTTAGTTAATCTTTGAGGTGGTGGTGGTGRGGAATCCTAGGTCTCCTTTAAGATAGTCTGATTATTTAGGATTATTTAACACATRAGTTAAAGAATGGAGCTTCATGATAGAAATAGGGGTTAAGTAGTGTGAAAAGCTTTTTAGAGAGGTTGATTGGAAACTGAAGAAAACATTTTTTGAATTTGATAGTGAGGAGGTTATTGATGACCTCAGTAGGGGACATTCCAGGAGGGTGCTTGTGGCTGAAAATCCACTTGCAATGGAGTAAAGAGTAAAAAGGAAATGGTAAAATGTATTTGAATATTTCAGTTCTTGATTCTTTTTTGTTTTCTTTTTTSAGTACTGAGGATTGAACTCAGTGCCTTATAAATACAGGCAAGTGCTTTTACCATTGAGCTGCAGCCCTTTTATTTATTTATTTTTGGTGCTTGGGATTTAATCCAGGGGCACTTTACCACTGATCTACATTCCCACCCTTTTCGTTTTTTAAATTTTGAGACAGGGTCTTGCTGAATTGCTTAGGGCTTCCTCAATAAACTTGGGAGGCTGGCCTTGAACTTGAGATCCTCCTGTCTCAGTCTCCCTATTGGTTGGTGGCTGAGATTACAGGTGTCAGCCACCATGCCCAGCCCTCAGCCTCCCCTTTAAAAAAGATTTTTAGTTATATATGGACACAATACCTTTATTGAATTAATTAATTTATTTATATGTGGTTCTGAGGATTGAACCCAGTGCTTCACACGTGCTAGACAAGCGCTCTACCATTGAGCTACAACCCTAGCCCACYTCCAGCCCTTAAGTTTTCTTTTTAAATTTTTAAATTTTTTTTTAGTTTAACACAATACCTATATTTTATTTATTTATTTTAATTGGTGCTGAGGATCGAACCCAGGGCCTCGTATGTTTAGGTGAGTGCTCTGCCATGGAGCTACAACYCAGCTCCTTAAGTTTTCTTTTGACACAGGATCTCACTAAGTTCTCCAGGCTGGCCTCAAACTTTCTATCCTCCTGTCTCAGCCCCCAGAGTAACTGGAATTATATGTGTGCACCACCATGCACAGCTCCTTTTAATTCATTTATTAGACCAGTAAGTTCTATGTGCTTAGAATATCGCAATACCTTCTCTAAGCTCCAGAGTTGTAGTTAAGGTGTCCATTGATACTGATTTTAGCTTCTTACAGATCAGTTAATGCCCAACTGTTTTTCATGCCAGTTTTTACTCTCAACTCTACAGGGATGGACAATAAATAATGTGGTTCTCCCTAGTTATTCTGTTAATAGAATAGACATTTCCTGCCAGGGGTTATCTGGTTTGCTAGGTATTTTATCACTAATAAGTAGTGTAATTCCTTTTTAGGTTAAAAGGAATGATCCATTAGAGTAGTCTAAATATTAAAGAAAATGACTAATTTCTTACCTATCCATTATAGTAGTCTAAATATTAAAGAAAGTGATTAATTTCTCACCTTGAGGAAGTAGGGAAGTTTAAAATCAAAGACATGGTTAAAGGGCTTAACTCATATAAAAGAGTAACAGTCTTTGTGCTTAGAAATTAAAAAATTGGAAGAGAGGATGAATCAAGGAATTTTTAGAAATTAAAGAATTGGAAGAGAGGATGAATGAAGGGATTTTTAGGCAAAGATGAAGAAACTGTAGGATTCCTTATCCTACTGTGTGTGTGTGTGTGTGTTTTACGAGGGCCTCGCATACTACCTCTGAGCTACAGCCTCAGCCCTATTATTCTACCTTTTTAATATGGTAAGGATTGAGGTTATCTATTAGACATATTTATTCAACGGTGGATTGGGATCCTGGGAAAAGAAAACATTTGGGGAAAATATTGTAGGGTAGTTAACAAATTCAGCAAGTATTTATTGAAATACCTGTATTGTGCCAAGCACTTTGTTTGGCAGTACTGGGGATTGAAACCTAGGGACACTTTACCACTAAACTATGGCCCNACCTAGGGACACTTTACCACTAAACTATGGCCCCAGCCCTTTTTATATTTTGCTAGCACAGGATGGTCTTAAACTTGTGATCCTCCTGCCTCAGACTCCCAAGTAGCTGGGATTACAGGTGAACACCACTGCACTTGTCAGTGCCAGGCACTGTAATACACATAATCAGTGCTCTCATGGAGCTAATTATTGAAATAAACAAGGAAAATTCCAATTTAAATAGAGTAGTTGATAGAGAATAATGGTTGGCTTGTCAGGTGGTAACAAAGAATATTAAGGAATGGAAGACAAGCTAAGTAAAATCCCAAGGTGAAATGAGTTGGATGTGTTTGAAGCATGGGAAGAATTACAGCTTCTTCTCATCAGGGTGGATGAGGACCAAAGTGTTGTGAGATGAGTGAAGACATGAGGAATAAGGATGTACAATTCCTTTTGGCTGTGGTAAGGGGATTTAAGTTCAAAGAAGTCTTGGGAAATTTTAAGGATAAAATGTGTTTTAAGGATTCTATTGGCTACTTTATTGAAGATAGATTACAGGTACAGAGTGAAAGCAGTAAGTTCAGTTTAGAGGCTTTTGCTGTTCACCARGCCAGACATATAGTAGAGAAACTTATTATTGTCAGTATAGCAGAAGAATAGCTGAGCAATAGTAAAATCCCAGCTCACATGAGATAGGAGGCAGAGTGAATTTATTAGCTAATATAGCCTTTTAAGTGGAAATGAAAAGTTTGAACTGGTAATTGAAATGTTTATGGGGTGAAGGCTGGATAAAGAGGATGCATGGCAGGGAGCAATGGAGCAAATGTATATCTCAGCAGTTCAGCAGGCTGAGGCAGGAGGATCACAAGTTCAAGGCCAGTCTTGCAATTTAGTAGCCCATGTCTCAAAATAAAAATTGTGGTGGTGGGGATAGCTCAGTAGTAGAATGCCTCTAGATTCAATATCCAGAATTGCTAAAAAGAAAAGAAACATTTTATTTTTAATTAAGAAAAAAATTTTTTGGTACTGGGGATTGAACTCAGGGATGTTTGACCACTGATTCACATCCCAGCCTTTTTTACTTATTATTTTGAGGCAGAGTCACAATAAGTTGCTTAGGGCCTCAAATTTGCTGCTCTCTTGCCTTACCTTTCCGAGTTGCTGGGATTACAGGTGTGTGCCACCATGCCTGGCTGAAAAAAATTTTTTTTTTTAATTTGAGACAGGATGTAGCTAAATTACCCAGGCTGACCTTGAATTTGGGCTCCTGCCTCAGCCTCTTGAGTAGTTGGGGTTATAGGCATGTGTCACCATGCTTTGCTTCATGGAGTTGATATTCTAATAAGAGTAGACAAGCTATTCAATAAATAATATATAAAGAATGGGAGGTGATAAGTATTAAGAAAATACATTAGGAAAAGTTAGACATTCATGGAAGATAAATAGGTTTATTATTTTATAAGGTGTGGTTCTGGAAGCCCTCTTTGATTAGGGTGATACATGATCTCACATCTCTAAATAAAGTAGTAGAACAGACCATGTGGATATTTGGGATGGGATAATGGGAGCATTCTAGGCTGAAGGCATTTAAATTTAAGCAAATGTTCCGAGACTGAACTGTGCTTGATGTATTCTAGTAGCATTATTCTAGCAGCATTAAGAGGGCAGTRTAGCTGGGATGGAATGAGAGATGAGGTGGTAGCAGCTTTCATCAGCATTGTGAAGGTGGTAGAGATTCAAGTCAAACTGTAGATCAGGATCAGGCCTTTGAGTTTTCTTCTGTGCAATGACAGGGATGCAGAGCCAGGAGTGAGGATGTAGGGGGAGTAAAAGACAAGTGAATGGCTAAAAGTTGTAACTTGTAGCTAAGAACCATCAAGTTTCCAAAGGTAATAATAAGAGAAAGATAAACAATTAAGGAAATATTTGAATACCACAGGAGGATGGAAGACTAGAGAAAGGTGAGTTGGTGGCACAGAAGGTCTGTAGTTCCTAATGAACAAATTTACTTGGATTCAGATTTATTTTGTAAGTTGTAGTAAATATATATATAACATAAAGTTTATTGTTTTAACCATTTCTTAGTGTACATTCCAGTGGCATCAAAAACAATCACATAGCCAGCAACATCACCATTGTCCTTTTCCAGAACTTTTTGTCATCTCAAATCTAAACATGCCCAGTAAGTAAACCTTCTGGCTGGGAGTAGGGCACTTGCATAACCTGTGCAAGGCCCTTGCTTCAATTCCCAGCACCACATTATCACAAAACAAAACAGCTTCTGATTGCTGATTGCCTCCTCTCACAATTAAAAAAAAAAAAACAACAAAAACGAAGTTGAGGGGTACAACTCAGTGGTAAAGTACCTCTGGGTTCAGTCTCCAGTACCCCACCCCCCCACACACATACACACACACAGAGTTTTT